AATTAAAGCACCCAAGTCAATAGCTGAAGCTTTTTAAATTTATGCACTTATTTTATTTTAAAGAAAGCCCAAGCCATTCTTTCTTTCCCTCATGTAGTTTGGAGACATGTTAGTAGACAATTGGCAGCACCAAGACTACTATCAATGTTTTTTCCCACTTTTGCAAAGAAGCACGCAAAAATTTGCTTCCCCAAAGGAAAACAATCCTTTTCCAAAATTCATGCCAATCTTTCCTGCACAAATATTTACAAATGAAGAAAAAGTGTTTAGCATACCTGAGTCTAGCTCAGAAAATCAAAACCATCCCAATCCAAACTAATTAACATAGTGTGTTCAATCTGCTAGATGTTGCTCCAAAAGAGTCATACACTATTATTTAACATTTACTTAAAAGATGCTTATATCATGCTTCAACAATTTTAGGGCAATTTGCAAAAGCTTGAAAAACATCTGATTAAACAACAGTATCAAAATAAATCTAGCAAGGTCTAGATGGAAATAAGGTTGCATCCCTTGCTATTCAGCCACCATCAAAACAACAATATGGAAATTCTGGCAATCCCCCAAACCTTGCAGAGCATGAGAACAAAAAAACTGCCTATTGAATCAGGCCAAAACAATTTAGTCTAGCATTATGTATTACCAAAGCATTTAGGAAAGTCACTATATTGATTCCAAGAACAGTAGTCGATCCAGATCTCCAAAATTTGCCTTTTAAAAACTCTGTTAATCAGTGATAATCATCAAGTATGAGGACAGTACATTCTGGTTTAACAGTGAAAAACCTAGTGGCACACATCAGTTCTAGGGAAAATTCCATTTCAACAACAGATATCTATTTTCATAATATTGTTTCACAGAAAAAGCAGAAACTAAAGTGGGTTACAGTGGTACCTTGGTACCCATCGGTAATTCATTCTGGAACACGCAACAAATACTAATGTCAATGCTGAAGCTGACCTGACCGAGGCCATTTTGAGACTTCATGTTGCCACACTGGAGCTGAGGGATAGGGAGGGGGGAATAGAGGTAGCTGGGGTTTGTAGCCAAAACAAAATACTTTCTCCTGGGAACTAAGGACATTCCCACAGGTGGTCCGAGAGATGAGGAGTGAAGTTACCAGGCAACCGGATGGCAACCGGCAACCAGATGATTGGACCATGTGACTGATTGTTTGGGGAAGGGAGAAAACATTTTTAATTAGGTGGAAACCGCGGGAATATTCAGAGTCGGTTTTCACCAGCTTGTGCCAATATGATATATCCAATAAAACTGTTCTTTGAGGAATTTACCTGCCTGAGAGTTCTGTTATGGGTGTATTACTTGGAACCCTGACAACTAAAACCAATGAGTACCGAGGAAACCATGTGACTTACCAAGTGACCCGCTATTTCGGCCAGAAGAAATAGCGAGTGACGAGGCAGCTGACATCAGCAAGTTCTTCCTTGTACTTCAACTACTGGAAGAAAGACGTGTGCTGGGACAAGATTTCTGCTTCGAAACATGTCAAATACCAAATTTGACAAAAGAGTTGAATGCTGAGGTATGACTGCACTGAAAATCTTGCTCCCTTCAATAGTGTGTGCCTTAGCAACTCCTCAGGGAATGGATCAGACCTCTTCTGACAAATGACTCTGAACATTTTCTGCAAGTGAAGTTGGCTCATCTGCTTCTGAGTTTTTTTTGTTTTGTTTTTTACCATTGTTAAGAAATAATATAGTTTGCTTTGGTAGAATACCTAGGCTTGCTGATGGAATAAAAAAGCCAACTATTTCTGTAGCTCCAAGATTTTATTTACATTGTTATGCCAAAGCAAACATCAAACATTTTAACTAAAGGCAAGAGGAAAAAAGTTTGTCTTCTTATTGGACAGTCGTTGACGTATAAATTTGTTGCAGAAATCGTTGCTGTATGTGTGTATATTTAAAACATGATTCTGCCTTACAAGTATTTCAGTTTAAATTACTGGGGAATCTAAGGTTTCAAATCAAGCTGACATATTAGCTTTCAAACCAGTAACTGCAATGCTGCCTAAATTCACTGGAGATTTCATAAAATCACTACCGTTCTTTGCATGTGATACACAATGAAGGACTGCTTCAGGAACAGGAACATCTCTATGCCTATGTAGAAAGTTATCAGTTGCTTGATCATATATTTCCAGGTTTCTTGAATGTGAGTGAGCCCAGTTCCGGGAATACTTATTAGCCTTATTACTTATTATTACTTATTATTAATTAATACTTATTAGCTTATTAGGAGCCATTGGTGGTGCAGTGATTAGAATGCAGTACTGCAGGCTAACTCACTGCTCACTAGAGAAGTTCGATTCTAAATGGCTCATGGTTGACTCAGTCTTCCCATCCTTCCAAGGTCAGTAAAATGAGGACCCAGAGTGTTGGGGGCAATATGGTGATTCTGTAAACCAGTTAGAGTAGGCTGTAAAGCACTATGAAGCAGTATACAAGTCTACGTACTACTACTATTGCTAGTAAGGATGAGCTTCCTAGATCTTCCTACTGCAGGAAGTCCTTTAGCAACCATTCCTTTAGCCACCATTCAAAGTTATAACAGCAAGTGACTTACATCCAATCTTCACACTTTTGACTATAGCAGCATCCCCCCAGTCAAACTACCAAAATTCGGGTGCTTGCATTTATGACAGTTGCAGCATCCTGGAGTCATGCAATCTCCAGTTCTAGCTGGCTTCGACAAGCAAAGTCAATAGGGGAAATCAGATTCATTTAATGACTATGTGATTAGCAACTGCCTTGATTTATTTAGCAACCATGACGAAAAAGGTTGTAAAATTGGGTGCAATTCACTGAACTGCCTTGCTTTGCAATAGTCTCAACTGTGGGCATAAATTGAGCACTACCTGTACACATATAGAATAATGAACACAAGCACAGACTGAGTATGAAGTCTATGTGTACTTCTTAATTGCCTTATGTGTGAAACAACCCTGAACTCCAATACCTCATCCTTCATTCCTTCAACCCAATTAAGTAGGCTAAAGTGACTACACAAATAAAGTGTTTAGAATTTGCTACTAAAGCAATCAATCAATAAAAATAACCATCTCAATTTCTTCATTGCATGACATTTTGGCTTCCTTGTGCAGAATGTGTTCAAGGGAAGGTCAAATAGCCATATCTTGGGAATGTTTTCTGATTCCTGCACCCAACCAAATTCAGATCCATAGTATCAATACTGACAGAAATTCAGAACAAAAATTCCTCTAAAAGTAGAGTTTAGCCCTAGATAACTTTTGACAATTGACCTTGCTCTTAAACTGCCATCATCATTCCCTCAATTAATAACAGGGAAAGATAAAAGAAAGTTTCTAAAGGTTTATGAGTCAATGCTCTGCTTCCCTGTACTTGAATTTTCAACCTGTTAATTTTTGCTTTCGTTACTTGTCAGATTCTAGGAAAAAAATTTCTTCAGTTGATCAGGCCAATAAATAAAAGGATCAATTTACACTAATATGTGCTTTGAGGAAACAACCAAGCAGCATAGTAATTTTGAAGGCATTACTAGGTGCGCATTTCATAAGGCAAACATGGACTGAAGTAATACTTGAAATAAGTCCTGTCAAATTGGCCACATGAGGTCCAATTCACTTGTTATATAGCTAGTCCTCAACTTACAACCGGTTATTTAAAGACTGTTCAAAATTACACCAGACTTGGAAAGAATTACTTACAACTTCTTCTCAAAGTTATAATTGTCACACCACCCTTGCTTGCATTTATGACTGATTGTAGCATCCCATGGTCACGCGATTGTGATTTGCGATGGGTTTTGTCACTTTCTGGCAAAAAAACACCCATTGGATAAGCTGGATGTGGACTTATGTCTACATAATTTGTTTAATGACCATAAAATGGTCATAAAATCAAGTTGGGTTATGTGATGACTTAACTTATGACTGCAACAATTTATAAACAAAATTCTGGTTCAATTGAAGCTGTAAGTCAAGGACTACCTATATAGGAAATAAATCCTGAAGACAGGCCCCCATAAACACACTGCACAAGCCTTGGTCAATTACAGACTCTTGATGTCATGCTTTTTTGTGCTTATCAGGTTACCTTATTGATATATAAGCCTACATGCTATGTAAAGCAGGCATGAGCTCTGAATGTTCTTTTAAGGAGAATGTTAATAATTTTCTGGACTGCAAGAAGTAATCTCCTGTAGTAACAAAGAATCATGCTTTCCTCTGACTACGTGAAAGGAAAAGGAAAAATTTGTTGACTGCCTACAATGACATTCAAATATACTCATATATGTAAAATTGAAAGTTGCGGTTTCTATGTCTGAATATATGAAGAGATTTTGAAAGCTGCCAAACTCATGAAAGAAAATAAAATGTGGAAGGCAAGGAAGAGGATTGGGTTAGAAAAGCAAAACTGGGACATTGGATGAAGCAGGGTGGTTGGAATCAATCATACTTTCTTCAAACTGTAATTTGCTCAGCAACCACGTTGAAAAATTCGATCTACAAAAAAGAAGTATCACCAATTCTTTTTTTTTTTTTAAGGGCAATATCGTTATTACTCTCTTCTCTTTCATATGTATTATCAACATGATTTTTAAAGTCATGGCATTAGAAGTGGCTAAAAAACAGTGATCTCTTAGTTAGAGAAATAAAATTATCCCTGCAGAACAAAAACTTCTAATAATGGGGGGAGGGGGGGAATTCACATGCACATCAGTGTTAGTTTTTAGCCATTCCCGGCAATTTTGTCAACATTACTCAAGCATGCTTGAATAGTAAGGTTAGGGCCAACTGTCACATACAATTGGGCAATACCTACATCATCAGATTATGAACCACCAATGAAAACCACCAACGTGGAAACATGCTGAGGTGCATTCAACCATGTTACTTATAAAAAAAAACACCATTAATAATAAAATAATGCATTCCAATTACTGTCTAATAGAGAGTGTGTTGGGTTACCTGCAGATCTTGGAAACACACACATTACCTGTTGCCTTTGGTAAGCGGAGAATGTTCTTTCAAGGTCTTCAAGGTCTAGCACCTTAAATACCTTGGCATCATCAATGCTAGTCCACACAGTACCTTCCAGCTTGTTCTAGGATGGTAGGAAGAAGATGGAAGAATCATCACTGTGACTTTTTCAACATACGGCACTACACTTCACTACATTCAAATGAAACCATATGCTGTAAATAGGGCCCATACACAAATTAAAAATAAATGTGAAATCACTTTGATGCACATGCCAGGCAAATGAAATCATTGTAAATTGTAGAAAAATGCAGCACTTCCAGGATAATTAAGGACATAAAAGAAGCTTAGTTGGATCAGCTGAAGAAGGTCACTCATCTAGCATTAAGTTTTGAATAGGAAAAGTCACTGGAAAAATTTTATATAATATAAAGGCAATTAAAGTTGATGATAGGGGGAACCTGGTGTGTAAAGGGTCAGACACGACTTAGCAACTGTATAACAACAACAAAATAAAGGCAATGCTTTCTTATGTTTATTCCCAGCAAAGTCAGATGGGAATTGATATTGCCAATTGATAATGGAAATTCAAGGTCAAGATAATGGAAGCCGAGCTCCAACAATTTTTTTCACTTGCACTTTTCTTAATTTTTTTTAAACGTGGGAATCAATTTTGGTGTGAGGGAACAACAATTAACTTAAAAGAGAATCTCTATGGAGATTCTCAATCATCCAGGTCATGTTTGTCCCAAAGGTGCTTTTCCAAAAGGCAATTGGATTTTCTCATTTTTTTATCCTTAAAAATGTTTTGCTTCTCATCCAAGAAAAAGCTCTTAAGAAAAAAAAAAATTAAGAAAGGAGGTCCAGTTGCCTTTTTGGAAAACCACCTTTGGGATATTAGAAATACTTGCATTGCAAATACAAGCACCTGTTTAATAAATATACTAACATCAGTGATGTTATTATAATTTCTTTTGAAATTTTTTGTCCCGCCCCACTCATATTTATTTATTTATTTATTGTTTATTTATTGATTCGATTTATATGCTGCCCTTCTCCGGAGACTCAGGGTGGCTTACAATGCGTTAAGCAATAACTTCATACTTTTGTATATACCTGCTTAGTAGGGCTTTCCCCCCCCCAAAGCGGTGTTCTTTTTTATACAAAGTTAGCTTATTGCCCCCACAATCAGAGTCCTTTTTTTAATTTTTATTTTTAATTTATTTTTTTTTACTATGGTCATACTCTACGTTGCAGTGTGGGCCATTTGAAGGTGAGTGGGGTTCCTGGCCTGAACCTTTTGTATCCCTGCTCTACAATCAATTCTATTCATCGATCCTAAGGTGCAGAGGGGAACAGATTCCTTACCTCAGGCAATTTGGACCAGTTGAAGGATTTGAGGGCATGTGTGGGTTGAGGGATGTTTTTCCTCTTGAGTGCTGATCCCAAAGGAGCTCCTGGAGCTGGAGTCAGACCTCCAATTGGTGGGGGCCCTGGGGGAGGTGGTGGGCCCCCAGGAGGAGGGGGTGGAGGTGGAGGAGGTGGCAGGATTGCCCCAGGAGGAGGGGGTGGAGGAGGAACTGGCAGGAGAGATCCTAGAGAGCCTGTAGGTAAGGGCCCCCCAGGGGCACCGGGTGGCAGAGGGGGTCCTCCAGGGACTGGAGCACATATTGCTCTCTGAAATAAAAAGGAGAAAACACAATTGCTCTAGGAATTGCAAGCAAACTCTAAGATCAAGCCAAGTGAGATGGCATTTAGGATACCCATGATGATAATATTCTTTACAATATATAACTCAGCCATCTATACCAGGGGTCTCCAACCTTGGCAACTTTAAGACTTGTGGACTTCAACTCCTAGTTGAAGTCTTAAAGTTGCCAAGGTTGGAGACCCCCGATTTATACAATTACAAATAATAATATGGAAACATTACAGGAAAGGTAAAAGGAAGGCAAAAAAGGATGTTCCCAGCCCAGGGTTTACCAAACTGTGTTCCATGAACTCCTGGGGTTCTGCAAGAACCTGATGGGTTCCATGAGAAGATTAAAGTGGGGAGAGGATTTCATTTGAATACTAGCCAGGGATGTCATAGCAATTTTTCCAACATCCAGCAGAAAAGACAGGGCATGCCAATGGCCTCTTGATTAAAGGCCTGGGAATAATAATAATAAAAAAAACCTAATGGATTCTGAGGCCTGAAAAAGCTTGAAGCCCCCATTTTGGCCAATTAGAGAGGAGCTGTCTTTCTTGCTCTTCCTCCTGGTGCTTATTGTTATCCTGGCCTTCTCTCTCTCTCTCTCTCTTTTTTTTTTTTTTTTGCAGAAAATGCTCTAAAACATGTGCAGTGAGAAGGCTGTTTGGAGATTAAGTGGAGGGGAAATAAACAAGTAAGTAAAAATATTGCAGAGGATGCTATTCTGTATTAACGGTTCACATTTCCAGAGGGCTGCTGAACTTCCTTAACTGGTTCATACATTTCATTTAAGAAGCAGGTCTGGGATACATAATGTGGAAAGATGAGATCAGATTTGTGAGACCGTGCCGAGAAGAAGCTTAGCTGGTAGAACTTCTTCTCTGCCAAAGAGGAGATTACTCCTGCAGGAATTCAGCTCTCAACAGTAAAATTGTTTGCCTGCTCTGGTTACAAAAGCTGTTATGCACCATGAGAAAGCCTGTCTCTCTGAGCAGATGAAGAACTCCCCTAAAATATATGGCGGTTTCAGTAATCTTTCCAGTAATCCATTCTTTTTCTCATTTGCCTGGGCCTTTTGACTGACAGCATTACTTCTAACAGACACATAGTTGTAATGTAAACAAATGGCATATTTCCCTCCAATTGCAAAGGAGAGTCTGGGGCTTGACCTCACCCTACTAAGCTCATGGATCTGTGCCGTGAGGTCTGCCACTTGCTGTTTCACTTGTTTATGCTCAGATAGTTCTTTTTCAAGCTTCTCCTTCATCTTATTCAAGGTCTGCATCATCTCCTCCTTCTCTTGGGTCTTGACATCACACTCTCGCTCTTTCTTTTCCAATTTCTGCTGTAGCTCATGGTGTTCTTTTAAAAAGGGAGGGAAATATTTAAACATTTGCAATTCATGCTTTTGAACGGTTGCTTGGCATGCCATGAACATGAATTATGGACTACGTTCCCCCTGCATTGTGAATCTGGCAACTGAAGGAATAATAAACCGAATAATAACCATACTGAAATATGTCCCTGTCCCCATCACCTAAGTTCAATACTTAGTAAATTATCCCAATTTGGATAGGAAAGTATTAAGAAACCTACTACACAAAGCAGAATAGTCACCTTAACATGCTTTCAGTACATTTATTTTGATTAAAATCTTGGAGAGAGGGTGAAAATAATTCTGTTATTAGAAGGTGATTGCTCACGCTCAATCCAGACTTTTCATATTAAAAAAAAATCAAGTAGCAAGGAACTGGAAAATCCTCTGTGTGGAACAGATAAAAATTCAAGAGAACCATACTGTTCTAGGTAATGAAATAGTCTGAGCCAATATTCTTTGTTCTTAAAAGATTAATGTATGACTAAAAAAGCACTTATTGTCCATTTCCTTTCTATTCCATTAAATGCATAGAGAAATACCATATTTTTTGGAGTACCTTTTTTGGTGAGGAAAAGAAGAAAAAGAAATCTCCCTCTGCCTCTGAGCAATTTTGCCTCGTTGCAGCAAGCAGCCTGCTTTATTTTCATTTTCATTTTCAGCCTAGCTTGACTAGCACAAGGAAAAAAAAAAATCTGCTCCAGCGATTTACCTCTTTGCAGCAAGCAGCAAAGCCCTGCGCAAAACAGCTGAGAGCAAATCAGCTGAGAGTCGGGAGGCCGATCCAATCAACTTGTGCTAATTAGGCTGTGCTGAAGCTGAAAGGAGCTGTTTTTTCTTGCTGTTTGCTTGCAAGGAGGTAACTGCTGTGAGGCAGAGGCCAAAGAGTGGGGGCCAGTGGGTGGGCGGGGCTACATTCGGTGTATAAGACGCACCTAAATTTTCACCCCCTTTTAGGTAGGTGAACCAAATAGGTAGTTTGTTAATTATCCTTAAATTCCTCTGAATTCTAAGCTGGTCATACTGCACCTACAATATAGCGTCAAGTTCAGTGCCTCATTTTAAAAATAAGGAACCAAGATGCTAAGGGGTTTGGGAGGAAAAACTTCGGAGAAATAGCTGAAAACACTGCATATCTTTAGTCTGAACCAAGAGAAGGCTGCCGAAAGATAGAGGACAATTATTTAGTTATATATCTACCATTTCAGTCATACATGACTGTCAGGTAGAAAACTTGACAGAATGGTTCAAGGACATACAATAGGACAAGATTCAATGGATTTAACTTACAAATAAATTAATTTAAATTAGATTACAAGTAGATTTTGCATGGATATTAGGAAAAAAATGTCCCAATACCAAAAGCTATTCAGTGGAATAACTTTTAAGTGGAATGGGTTGCCTCAATTACAAATAAAAATCAAGTGAAGCAAATCAGCAACAATGAGATATGTCTAATTATCAATTAGTCCAAACTGACCAAATTTATGTTATTTTCATAATTATAAAAATGGATGCAAATTGCGTAATTTGATGTATATAACATTAATTTATGCAAATCTTCCAGACCACTTTGGCTGCACTGTACTTGTTCACAATTTTGAAGGGCTATTTTGTTCACTGCATCTAAAATCTAAGATAGGCCTCATTAGTTGAAACTTCACTGTATTTCCTTTCTTCTATTAGACATGCAGATTTTATTGTCCTCCACGGAAAAGAACCGTTCATGGGAAAACACAAACACATGTCTATAGTGACATGCTATACTATTGTTCCTAAAATTTAGTCCTCTTTATTAAAGAACCAAACCAGATTGATCACTTCCATTTCCACTCACATAAAAGATGTTTCTGTGAAAGAAAATGTAAGTTGATAACTGTATATAGCAAATTATCTGGTTAAAGGCCAAACTGTACCAATTCATAAATCAATAAAGTGTGGAAAATCCTATGTCAGAAGTTCTCCCTTTCTTTCTTTTTTTACTTCAGGTTTAGATTTTGTACCATTTTCTTATAGTGTTTAAAGTTCAAATTAATCAGCTAACCTCTGTATTCTCTGCCCACAGATCTAAACTGATTTCAGGCTTTAACCTTTTCACTTCTATGATGTCACTTCCCTTTACAACCATGGCATTCCAGAAGTTGCCTTAATCTGAGTGAGCTCATATTGCCATCATCAATTGCCACTGAATCTACAAAACCTCCAGTAGAATTTTCTTTTCAGTCCTAACAAGTGAAAGTCCTCTTAAGGTGGGGCTCTGTACTTTTATCAATTACCTTTTCTCATTTTTTCAGCTTGTTCTTTCCATTGTTTTACTTCATTTTCATTAACCAACCTAGGGGTAAAAAAAGAAATTAATTTCTAATAAATATAAGCACCACGTGATTAGAAAATCCAAGACGTCATAATGAAGTCTATGTAAGAAAGCTAGAAAATTGCACCTGTACTGGTTCAATTAGTATTTAAATTTATTTCGTTTTCTTACCATGAAACAGTTTACAGTGGCAAGTCATTTTATTTACATATTGCTACTTTAACATTACTGAATGCTTATAAAATATTGACAGTTTTTTCAAAGAGAAGTTCGTTAACATACAATTTATTAGGTAGAATATTCCCTAGTCTTTGCTCAGAGTACCACAATGCTATGGAACAGGGGTCTCCAACCTTGGCAACTTTAAGCCTGGCGGACTTCAACTCCCAGAATTCCCCAGCCAGCTTTGCTTTGCTTTGCTGGCTGGGGAATTCTGGGAGTTGAAGTCCACCAGGCTTAAAGTTGCCAAGGTTGGAGACCCCTGCTATGGAATATATATCAACATATTTCTTTTGGGGGTGAAGTTATTGGCAATATCGAAAACTTGGTTAAACAGAAATCCTTTTTTTTTTTTTTTTTCATTCCAGATAATAAGTAGTTCTGTCGCTATTTCCAAATTGTGCAGATTTGTGTAGGACTAATTCAAAAATCAAAACAAACAAGCAACCCACTCATATGAAAGAGAGAAGACATGCAAGATTAAAAAAACCCAAAAACCATTTACTGCAGAAATAAAGGAAGGCCCTTACATTCGGACAACATTTTTGATATTAAAGTTCTCCAGGGGTGTTGAGTCAGGGTCCTGCCCTTTATCATTTTGAATAACTATTTGTTGTATAATACGATCCAGCAGTAACCAGTACTGGACTGTGTTGCCGTTTCTCTTATCTAAAAGGGAGACAAAAACTGTGAATGAATGTGAAGGGTGGGAAAAGGAAGCATATGTCAATTTAAACAAATCTCCATTCCCAGATGCTTTTTACATAAAATTGTGCTTTAGTGGTGAAATAGTTGCTATAGGTTGTGGTGGAGGGGTGTCAGTGAAAAACTGCTTTTCCTAACCTTGATCATTATATATCTTTCTTTCTAATAAACAGGATATTTTATGCAATGCATGCTACTAAAACTGGGGTTAATGAAATAGTCACTTTGCTTCTGTAACAGTCTGAATTGATATCCTTTTTTCCCCCAGTGACCAAAAACTGAACGCTATTGACAGAAATAGCCAGTTGGAAATGATGTGATTTTTCTTATAAATAAAGAAGTCTCTGAAATTAATCTTTGAAGAAAAATTTGGGAAGTGTGACAAGGTCTTCTTGGATGACGGTATACCCAGAAACATGAATATCTTATTTTAAATGTCTTGAATACTGTGTCCCAGTATCAAAGTATATTTATAAAACTATGTGCAGTATTTTTGGGAGAAAATAATATATTATGCAATTTAACTCGTAACCTGCAACTCCCCTTCCGCCAAGAAATGGATGAATAATGCATCTGCGGAATTATGAATAAAAGCATGCAACAGTGAATTACACAAATTCACCCCTTTGTACTTATGAGTCATGTCTTAATTTATATCAATATAAATATTGGAGCGTGTTCAGGATACTGCATAAATAAACGATAGAATTTGTATAATGTCACTTTTGCATGCTTTTACAAGAGGTAAATTTAATTATAAGTATTGTAAAACTGTGTTGACGAATATGATGGAAATCTTATACATTTGATGTTCTGAAATTGGAAAATGCTCTGATAATCTTTTACAAAACAAAGTATACACTGTAGCTACTCTTGCATTTTTTGAATATAATGGCAAATTATTATTGTTAGAAAAGACACTGGAACAACTGTTAACAAATATATTTCCCACATATTAATAGTGCAGTTCAAAATTATTCAAATAAATCCTGTAAGAAAGAGAAGGACAAAGCTCAATGCTAGAAGATAGGAATGCATTCCAAGAGATTACTGTACTCAGATATGCCTGGCAAAAATAGAATTGTACAGCCATTTTCAAAGGGAGAGCAGATGGGAAGAAATCATTGTGGGAAAGGACAAAGTTGATATTTTCAACAGATACTTCTCCATATTTGATATGCAGCAAATCTTTGAAAGTTATACCGAATCAACTATGTGAAACATGTTAGGGTGCAGCCCTTAAGCGAGTGCTTTTGACAGAAGATCAAAATCGTATCCTTCAGAATGCTTTTCCAGAGGAGGGAAATGCTTGCGTACATCTGTGTAGTTGAGTGACCAACAAATGTGCAATAAACATTTCTAAGCTGAATGTGATACGACTTTCTTGAAAGCAGTATTTTGTCGAGACAGCTGAGAAGATGTAATGGACACTTTGGAAATGCATGGCACAAAGAGGAAAGTATCCATGTAGATAATTAGCATGTAAAATTTGATCAGCAATTGTATGAAATACTTTTTTTTTTTTTTTTGAAAAAGAAGCATGATGGCTATATATGAAGGATATATTAACTGGGAGTCCTGCACTAAATAGAGAAATGGACTAATTTGTTTAAGTGACCTCTTCCAATTTCATGGGATTTTATGAAAATACAAGCTAATCCTGAAGAACTGGATGTAATAGAAAATTTTTCACACAGCAGATTCCTTTGCACTTACAGATCTTTTCCTCCATTTTTAACATTTGGTGGTATTTGCTTTTTCTAAATGATGTTAATCCAATCTGTCCTTCTCTAGTCTTCTCCAGCAATGTAATGAAGATTGGAAAGTTCTATCTGGTTTGGGCTACTGTAAAGTTACCCTTAAAGATTTAATTCCTAGTTTACGTAGGCAATTGCCCCCATGCCAATCAATCAATCAATCAATCAATCAATCAATCAATCAATTTATCACTCTTTAACATGTTCTCTCTCTTTTACTCTATTTAAATATATATATATCTCTCTTTTTTAAAATTTGATTTATATGCCGCCCTTCTCCGGAGACTCAGGGCGGCTTACAATGCGTTAAGCAATAGCCTTCATACTTTTGTATATTTTATACAAAGTAAGCTTATTGCCCCCACAACCTGGGTCCTCATTTTACCTACCTTAGAAAGGATGGAAGGCTGAGTCAACCTTGAGCCTGGTGAGATTTGAACTTGCAGTAATTGCAGGCAGCTGATGTTAATAACATTGCTTTAGCACTAAACAGTGCTTTAGTCTGCTGCGCCACCAGGGCTCTCTCTCTCCATTTATCCATCCATCCATCCACCCATATGTACTTCAAAATTACTAAGACGCATAGACTGCAAATCTCATTGCTTCTGTACAATAATACCGGTTTCACGTTCACTATAATAATATACCCTATAACAGGACATGTTAAAGTCATAGCATTTCTAACCATTCAGAGGAAGCCTGCATTTCGAACCATGCACTTCAATGCCAAAATATCTACTATGAATATCAATAGAATCCTAAAGTTACTTTTTGTACTCACAAGGCATTTGGAGGCAATGGTGAAGTATAGACATAAAATGCGGGTAGGCTTCTGTATGAGTCAATCTCTTTCTTGTGAGCTCAAACATCTGGGTTGCACTTTTAGTATCTATATGAACCTTCAGTTATTTGATGGGACAAAACAATTGAGGTTAAGATTAGTATTTTTATACACAATCATTCCTCCAGAGAAAGTTGCTACCTCTTAATTTCTTTTTGCTTCCAATCAGCTTTTAGTCAAGTTGGACTTTCCTACACATAGGTGAATGTGTAGTAAGAAATATAAACGTGAATCAATAAAATTGGCAAAATGTCAATCTATAAAGAGGAACCTGACAATCCTTAACAAGATTTTGCACGTATCCAAGACCTCTGAGGTCAGTCTGATCCAAAAAGTGATTATCTCTGATGTACAGTAGCAGAACATATAACACTTTAAAGCGTTTCAAAATTTTTGAAAATCTTGCTACTTATTGAAAAATAGCCCACAGCTATGAAAAAGGAAGGATCAGGGTGAATCATTTATATGAAAGTTGGGCAAAGATGGAATAGGGGAGGAAGAAAAGCAATCTCCTGAAAGTTATAATTAAAATGTAACTTAATCATTTTGGGCAAGTGTTCAAGGATAACTGTAAAATGGCTGAGATATGATTCAGTTCTTAACAACGATCCTTTCTTGGCCAGAGTATTTTTCTTACTCATTCCAAATGTAGCAAAATAGTAGTAGATACATACCAATTCAAATCTTTTGGCAAACTCCAACTCATCTTCATTTCGAAGAATTTCAAAAAAGTCTAAATGCCTGGAGGGAAGAAAGGAGGCAACTTATGGCAATGCCTTACTGAAGAAATTTTGCTAATAGGTTTGGCAAGAGCATCCCACTACATTTAGAAGAGGAAGGGCACTTAATAGCCTTTCATTCAGAAGAGTTCATACAGTTAGTCCTTGACCTACAATTATAATGGAACCCAGAATTACGGTCTTGAGTTGTGCCAGTTGTTAAGCAGGTCACCATGTGACCATGCTCAGTTTTACAACCTTTTTAACGACTGTCATTAAGTGAATGTGGTGGTTGTAAAACAAACTCTGCGGTTGGTAAGTAAATTCATTGTTTGCAATGGGTCTACTGTTGCTGGAAAATGGAAATAAATGGTTTCCAGCAAAAAACATTGGGCAGCGTCTTTCAAATCCAGATCGTAAATAGTCAACTACCTGCAACTGTAATACAAATGTATTCTTCCTCAACATTAGAGGGACACAATTCTTTCTCAAATTTAAAAACAGGAAAGTAAGAAGAAGAACCAGCCACCTTCAGAATTCCATCTATTCAGCTAATTCTCCACAATACAATAATCATTCTTTTTTTTTTATCATCCTAGTTCTAAAGGATCTGTACAGGCACCCCTCAATTTACAACAGTTTGTTTAGTGACCGTTCAAAGTTACCATGGCACTGAAAAAAGTGACTTACAACCATTTTTCACACTTATGACCATGGTAGTATCCCCATGGTCATGTGGTCAAAATTCAAATGCTTGGCAACTGGTTCATATTTATGACCGTTGCAGTATCCCAGGGCCATGTGATCATCTTTTGCTACCTTCTGACGAGCAAAGTCGATGGGGAAGCTAGATCCAGTTAACAACTTTGTCACTAACTGAACCACTGCAGTGATTCACTTAAGAACTGTGGCAAGAAGGTAGTAAAATGAGACAAAATTCACCTAATAAACATCTCACTTAGCAACAGAAATTTGAGGCTCAATTGTGGTCCTAAGTCAAGGACTACCTGCATTCGTGTTTCAGAGAGACTCGGAAAATTGAGTAGAAACTCCCCATAAGAATATTTTCTATGGGTGCCAAGCTGAGAGGCTGGCTCCATGGTTGGGATTTATATCAAGGGTGGATAAACTGTTGGGTGGACTGGGATTGCATTTATTTTTTAAAAGATGGCCAATGATACAAGCTGTTGGAGTCACTTAAAACTGGCCAGAACTTTAGGATTTATTTTGGTTGTTTAAAAAAGGTGACATCTGTTTTGCACTCAAAATGATAAGAAAGCACAAGATAGGTAAGATGTTACAGTTGAAGGAGGTACTACTAGCTTCAAATAAAAGGGGGGAATAAAATATTGACATAATGGATTCTCCCCAAGAGAATGGGTCATTTTAAGTGCTAAGGCAGCAATGGATTCTGAAATGGAACTGAGATGTAGTTGTTCACTGTAAATAGTTGTTCTTGATATTCTCTGCAAGCAATTAAAGCTTTCATGATAATTTTCATTAGATTTGAATGTAACATTAACCTAGCATTATGTGCAAAACCTGTGTAACCGTGCATGTTTCATTCTCTTCTCTTCTGATGAAGCCGGAAGGAAAATATTCAATTTCATCTTCTTGATATTTGGTTATCATTAGCATGAATTAGGCATCATGATTTAAACAAAATCCAGCCAATTGGAAAACAAGCCTGCATAGTTTTGCTAGTTACTTAACAAACCACAATAAGTCTGGGATGAATAAAGATAAAATTAAGCTGGCAGGAATTTTTCTACTTGTGAAGCAGTTAGAGAAGGGGGAGAAGCACTCAGGTCTAAGATTTACTGGAGCTTCAGAGGTTCCCGTGCATTAAATCCCGGCTTAGTGTCATAGAATTCCAGCTAGTTTAGGAAAAATTCAAAATTTTAGAACAATTTCTTTACATTAGGATGGGTAGAAATTTCCTTTAACACAAAATCCAGGCAGAATGAATAAGAAGGCAGAAAAGACATTTTAAACAACATTACAAATCACATACTTACCTATCTAATGTGGAATTTTCATGTTCTCTTAACTTGTCAATTACAGGCTGAATTCCAAGCATGAGGAATTCATATCTAAGGTGGAGTCTGAAGTCCAGACTTTCCTGGGAAAGAAGAAAAGAAGATGACACTCTTTCAAAATTGTTTCTGTTAGAATGATTGTACTTTTGTTTTACCATCAAAGGCTTAAAAGTTTCCCTGTTCAGTTGTGACTGACTTAAGGGGGCAGTACTCATCTCGGATTCTCAGTCGAGGGAGCCTGTGTTATCTGAGAGAGGCTTCTGTCAGCATGAAAATACAGAATGCAGTAACTTTCCCGCTGAAGTGGTACCCATTTATCTACTCACATTTGCATACTTTCGAATTGCTAGGTTAGCTGGAGCTGGGGTGAGTTAACAGGAGCTCCTCCTGACACAGAGTGTTTGGATCTTGAACCTGAGTTCTTGGCTTTCCAGCTGATAAGCCCAGTGTCTTAACCACTGAGCAACAGCACTGCTTTTGTTTTACCAAAGAAGTGAAAAGAAAACGGGGACCCATGCAGCAGATTAACTACCCTCTGTAATAGCAGTCACAAAGTAGGTAGATTAGGAAACGTTCTGAAAATTACGGAGTTACATTAACACTTCAATAACACAAGACAGATGAAGTATCGTAAACATCAGGATTCAGGGAGACAAGAAAATGGAGTTCATTATCTTAGGTCTTTCCATCAGGTTTACTTTTTATTGAGTCCACTTACTTGTCAAAAACAAAGCAAGCAAGGGGAGCAGAGATATAGCTTATATTTCTTTCGTAGGCAGCCTGAGGGTGACAATAATAAGTAGTGGGTTTATATTAGGGGAATACAAATTTAGTCCTCTCTAGATATCGTCTAGACATTAATTCCTACTGGTCTCCAACATCACTAATAGTTTAAAAAAAATAGAGTTATCCTACATAGCTGGAGGCACTAAGTTCTTCGGACACTAAAAGAATCATAATTCAGTGGTAAGCAAATTATGCACATAAGAGGTTCCAGATTCACAGGGAAAACTACTTTTCCAGAATATCTGTCATTAGGAAATGCACAAATTGCTCTGTCTGATATTATGATCTTAAATATTTCTATTTGGGACAGGGTGAGAAGATGAGTGTTTGTGTTTTAAGTAGGATAGAAAGCTGCATGGGATGGGAAGCATCGTTTTCTTAAAGGGAGATATGTTTCTGTTCTGTCCTTTCAAGAAACTGGGATGGGGAAAAGGTCTCTGCCAAAATATTCTGATTATCCCCTCGGATATGAATGTGCAAGACAATTCTTTTGCTTACTTTTCACAATTCTACCTTTCTCTTGTAAATTATCCAGGTGACCTAAAGTCTTTATTAATTCATGAGAAATCTTCCATCATCCTATGAAACTAGGAGTACCTGTACCCCATCTCTGCCCTATCTAAACTTACTGTGTTATAGTTGCCAATATGATGCAAGATATCCCCTTTAGATATTTTAGTTATTGTTTCTATAATCGTTGTTCAAACATGATAGTATTCCAATCAATGTTACGAAGCACCCATCTCTAGCTTCTGAACTTACCACTCCAGCTCCTTGGCTTAGAACAGCATTGATAAACGACATAATGGCGGTCTTGAGGCTTACTTCATCTCGGTATCGTCCCGTACTTCTATCCAAATCATTTATTAATGTCTAAAAATTAGAATATTTTTTATCAGTGTCATAGTGGTACTAAACACCAGGAGAGGAAAAAACTTTAAATGAAAATTAGAGTCGTTTTAATTATTTTTATGTTAAAGATAAAAAGTATATCATTCCTATATGGCTAAGTCCTCCAAGGATGATCTGTGGTTGGGTCCATTGGTGGTGAATTTATTCTTGAGAGAAGGGGTAGTCAATGCTTAAGGAGTTCAAATCTCACCAGGCTCAAGGTTGACTCAGCCTTCCATCCTTTCAAAGGTAGGTGAAATGAGGACCCAGATTGTGGGGGCAATAAGATGACTTTGTATAAATATACAAAAGTATGAAGGCTATTGCTTAATGCATTGTAAGCCGGCCTGAGTCTCTGGAGAAGGGCGGCATATAAATTAAAGCAAAAAAAAAAGAAAAAAAAAAAGGAGAGAGTGTTCCACCCCCTTCTTAAGAAGCCTTCACTGGACTCAATTAAGTTGGGCAATTTTTGTAATCCAGGGAGGAGGCCTGCAGATTGGGTGATCATATCATTGTGTTTTTTCTTGACATGACTGTGGTAATGTTTGAAATTAAATGACCTCAGGGGCTATTGCACCATAGTTGTGGGACAAAAATAAACATTTATGCTGTGTAATATTAAAAATAATCATTCCATTTAAGGAGTAATTCGATGCTTCATACCTGAAAGCGAGTCCGTTCGCTGGCATATTTTTGGTAGTGCACCATGGCCTCTAGTACCTTTTTGTGACCCCCAGGAACCAGGCACACAGCGCCCATGATTTCCAGCACCGCCACCTTAGTCTTAATGTTTTCAGTGCTCAGACTCTGAGCAATTACATTAATACTCTCTGAGTGGGCCAGGACATGGGCTCTCCCAAGAGAGTTGTTCATCAGGGCTTTGATGCACCCAATGAGAGAGGTATGGATTCGAGATTCTGAAGTCTCATAGTCCATGCTCTTCAAGAAGTTCAGAATGCATGACAAGCCATCCAGATCAATGAATCGAGTTACAAACCTATCAGGAAAGAAGGAAAGAACATAAAAGAGGAAGATCACTTTCTTGAAGTCTAAATTTAGTTTAACTTCAGAGGATTCCTAAAGAAAAGATTAAAATAATATCTCAGTGTAAGGATAATAATTTCATTACCCATAAATAGATATGATAGCTGTGGTGGCACAGTGGTTAGAATGCAGTATTGCAGGCTAATTCTGACGACTGCCAGGAGTTTGATCCTTACTGGCTCAAGGTTGACTTGGCCTTTTATCCTTCCGAGGTTGGTAAAATGAGGACCCAGATTGTTGGGGGCAATATGCTGACTCTGTAAACTGCTTAGAGGGGGCTGCAAAGCACCGTGAAGTGGTATATAAGTCTATGTACTATTGATATATTCTAGTACCTTCTGGGGATATTGTTAGAAAAAGAAAGAAATCAGCTTCATGACTGACTTGATCCTTTTTACTTTACTTTACTTTTACTTTTATTATATTTATATACCGCCCTTCTCGAAGGACTCAGGGCGGTGAACAGCCATGGTAAAAACAGTATACAAGACAAAAATTTAAAAACTTATTAAAATAATTCAATCACTGGCCAAATTTAAAACACCCAGCTAAAATCATTATTTAAAACCCCTATCAAACCCCAATTAAAATCCTTTATCCCATCAGACCGGCTTGCTGGAATAATAGGGTCTTCAGAGCACGACGGAAGGCGCGGAGGTCGGGGATCCTTCGTGTGTCTGGGGGCAATTCATTCCATAGGGCCGGGGCCCCCACAGAGACGGCTCTCCCTCTGGGGGTCGCCAGCCTACATTGTTTGGCCGACGGCACTCTGAGGAGGCCCTCTCTGTGGGAGCGTACTGGTCGGTGGGAGGCAATCGGTGGCAGAATGCGGTCCTGTAGATAACCAGGTCCTAAGCCATGGAGCGCTTTAAAGGTGGTAACGAACACCTTGAAACGCACCCGGAAGACCATTGGGAGCCAGTGCAGCTCGCGCAAGAGGGGTGTTACATGGGAACGACGAGTCGCCCCCATTATTACTTGTGCGGCTGCATTCTGGACCAGTTGGAGCCTCCGGCTGCTCCTCAAGGGGAGCCCCATGTAGAGAGAATTACAATAGTCCAGATGGGAAGTGACGAGGGTGTGAGTGACTGTGCGCATGGCGTCTTGATCCAGAAATGGACGCAACTGGGAGATCAGGCGAACCTGATAAAAAGCCCCCCTGGCCACGGCCGTCATATGATCATCCAAAGACAGCCGTGAGTCCAGGAGGACGCCCAAGTTGCGAGCCCTCTCTGAGGGGGGTAAGATCTCATCCCCAATAGCCAGCGATGGTGTTAGCTGACTATATCAGGCCGTCGGAAGCCACAGCCACTCAGTCTTGGAGGGATTGAGTCAGAGCCTGTTCCTCCCCATCCAGATCTGCATGGCTTCCAGGCAACGGGACATCACATCAAGGGCATCATTGGGGTGGCCTGGGGTTGAAATGTACAACTGCGTGTCATCAGCATACAGTTGACACTTCACCCAAAAGCCACGGATGATCTCACCCAGCGGCTTCACATAAATGTTAAACAGGAGGGGCAAGAGGACTGACCCTTGCGGCAACCCACAAGTGAGGAACCTCGAGGTCGACCTCTGCCCCCCTGTCAACACAGACTGCGTGCAGTCAGAGAGGAAGGAGGAGAACCACCGTAGCATGGTGACCCCCACTCCCACCCCCTCTAGCCGACGCAGCATGATACCATGATCGATGGTATCAAAAACAGCTGAGAGATCTAGGAGGACCAGGACAGAGGAGCAACCCCTGTCCCGAACCCTCCAGAGATCATCAACCAATGCGATCAATGCCATTTCCGTGCTGCACCCGTCCTGAAGCCCGACTGGCACGGATCTAGATAGACAGCTTCATCCAGGAATCGAGGAAGTTGTCTCGCCACCACACTCTCAACAACCTTCACCGTGAAGCAGAGATTGGAGACAGGACGATAATTAGCTAATACAGCCGGGTCCAGGGAAGGCTTCTTGAGGAGGGGCCTCACCACTGCCTTTTTCAGGGCGGATGGGAAGACACCCTCACTCAACGAAGCATTGGTAATCTCCTGAAACCAGCCTCGTGTAACCTCCTGGGAGGCCAGCACCAATGAGGAGGGACACAGGTCCAGTAAACATGTGGTAGTGTTAAGCCTCCCCAAAATCCTGTCCACATCCTCAGGACTCACATGGTCAAACTCCTCCCAGATAACTCTCAAGACTCACCTCCGTCATCCCGTCCGAGGCTATCCAATCAGAGTCCAGGCCACCCCGAATCTGAGCGATTTTATCATGCAGGTATTGTCCAAAATCCTCAGCTCTACCCTGCAAGGGATCCTCCCTTGCTCCCACCTGTAGTAGAGAGCGGGTCACCCTGAACAGGGCGGCTAGGCGGTTCTCTGCAGATGCAATAAGAGTGGAAAAATAGTTAGATTTTGCCACTCTTATTGCCACTAGGTAGGTCTTGATATAAGACCTCACCAGTGTTCGGTCAGATTCGGTGCGGCTAGACATCCAATTGCTCTCTAGGCATCTTTTCCGGCGCTTCATCTCTCTCAGCTCCTCGGAGAACCAAGGAGCCAACTGAGAACGGCACCGAGTCAGAGGCCGCAAAGGCGCAACGCGGTCCAAGGCTCCGGCGGCCGCCCTGTCCCAGGCGGCCACCAGTTCTTCAGCCGAGCCGTGAGTCAGGGCCTCTGGGAATGGCCCAAGCTCCGTCAGGAACCTCTCGGGGTCCATCAGGCGCCTGGGATGGAACCACCTGGTCGGTTCCGTCTCCCTGCAGCGAGGGACAGCGGTCCGAAAGTCCAGCTGAAGGAGCGAATGATCTGTCCATGACAAGGGCTTAATGACTAGGTCCCCTATTGTACGATCATTCAACCACTGACCAGAAACAAAAATCAAGTCCAGCGTGTGTCCCCCAGTGTGGGTGGGGTCATGAACTAACTAGGTCAGGTCCATGGCCGTCATGGAAGCCATGAACTCCCGAGCCGCTTCCGACATTTCACCGATGGCAGGTTGAAATCCCCCATGACCATAAGCCTGGGGGTATCCACTGCCACCCCGGCTATTACGTCGAGCAGCTCAGGCAGGGCAGCTGCTACGTGGAAGGGAGCCAGGTACGTAGTCAGCAAACCCATCTGCACCCCATGACCCCACTTCACAAAGAGGGACTCACAGCCGGCTATCTGAGGAACAGTGCCTCCCTCGGACTAAGACTTTCTTTAATAATCACCGCTACCCCTCCGCCCCTCCCCTGGGCCCTTGGCTGATGAAATGCCTGGAAGCCTGGTGGGCACATATCCATGAGGGGGACCCCCCCCTCGTGGCCTAACCAGGTCTCCGTGATCCCAGCCAGGTCCGCACCCCCCTCCTGAACTAAATCATGGATGAGGGGGGCTTTATTAACTGCAGACCTGGCATTGCACAGCAACAGCCAAAGGCCCGGGCTGAGTTTGGGACAGAAAAATCTCTAAACATTTCACACTTCCCAAGACTGAGCATTCAAAGTCTAAACAGCCCGATCACTGCTAAGAGGTGCAGAAGGTATATATAAGAAATATGATTATTTGATGGTAGAATAAACATTGCAGCATCTCCTCTGATGGGAAAAATTTACTATAAACCTCTCCACTTGTCTGTGGATAGAATTTGAATCTCCATTCTGTAAAATAATTTTTAATGCTGTAAAAAGACGTATTTAAAATTTAATAATACTGTCTAAATCCAAGGCATTCCTATCACTTGCAGGATAGCATTCACTAGCCAAGCAGTATGATTTCTATAATGATGAAATGATGGCTCTGTAAGACCTCAGGGTGGGGGAAATTTTATTGGGAAGATGGGGCTTGCGATTCTAAACACTTGGGTGGTAACATGCATTGAGTTAACAAATCTCAGCAAATTAAAACTGATTGGTATTACAACAAAGAGTTTACTTTAAGAATCTTTATACTAAAGAGCAGAAGGCAAGGAATTTAGTAATCTAGCAGCAAGAGCAACCAAAAAGCCATTTACCTCATAGGTTTGGTCCTTAGTGCTGTTTTCAAACTCTCTATAGTTTTGTTTCGTTCCTCTTCGTCTTCTTTTTCCAAAGCGATCAATGACTTTCTCTGCACAAATTTGAGAAAATTAGTAGCAGCCGCCTGTTGAATATAGTTTGTTTACCTACTGTACTTTCCACAAATAAATTGTGCTGAAAGGGTTTGTCAGTCAGCAACAATGCAATAGCAAAATGGTCATGATGAACCCATTTACCACCACAATACAGCATCCAGACCACCCAAAAAAGACCTCTTCAAAATATTCCTGTCAGAAGTTCCTTCATAAAGCTTTATGGACCTGGACTATGCAGGAAGAAACAGCCAGGACCTGACAAAGGGCATGAAATATCTCTTTACAAATATTACAGGTTTAATCGAAATATTTTAATATTTCATTTCTGCTTTTCCTTTTAATATCCCATTTTCTTTATTTCTGTAAAACAAGATAAATTAAAAATGGTTCTTCTGGCCTTCAGAATGGCTATCAAAAGCCCCTTCTGCAGGGCTTTGCATCAGGATAAGTAGAGTCCCCTGTTGGATAAGCTATATAATATTCAACTCTGGTGATCATTTTATAGTTGATCTTTTAATGGTGGGTGCTCTCTTCTGAGCAACTAATCTTTTCCCCCCAAAAAAGTTCCAAAAAGATGCTGGGGATGAGTCATAGACTTTCTTTATTCATTGAGCAATATTGTCCCGTTCAAGAGTTGTGGGTCTGGTTTTGCTCAAATGAATAGCAAGCCCAGCTTTCCATCTTATTCTTCCTGATGCAGTATTGTAGTAGACTGGATTTAATTTTAAAATGCCAGCATGAGAGATGTTTCAACCATTTGATAATAAAATTTAAAACATACATGTAGTTTATTCTTATTTCCATTAAAACCGTTTTTGAGTTGGTGACGCAGTTGGGCTGTCACTGAGACATTAAAAGAGGAAGCTGTCCCACAGAAGTATTTAAGCAATGCTGCAGATGTGCTTCTGGATTGAATGATTAGCCGGTAACATCGCCATTGCCCTGGGGATGCCCAGTTGGGGGCTCCTTTCATGTCTCTGGCATGAGTTAGTACAAAAGATAGGACCTCAATCCCAACCCATGTCAGCTCTCGGGTCTCAAACATGAGCTTGTTAACCTCCAACCCAGCAATCTAACTGCTCAAGCCACCCTGCTCCTATTTAACCAATGATGCCATTCTTTTAAGCCAGCAACGTATTGGTAAAATTCCACAGGGGAAGATTTTCTTTAATGACAACTTTAGAGAGCAATAGTGCCACACTGAATATTTGCAAGGTGTATATTATTCCAACTCAATATCACTCATATCTGAGAAACATAAATTTCCAGTTATCTCCAAAATGCTTGACTTTACCATGGAGAAATACCCACACACCTCAAATACCTCAACATAACCACAGTATGAAATTCACAACTGCTGAATAGATTGTACTGCATTCAGAAAGAAGGCATCTGCAGCCCTCTATAAAAATTCAAGGGGCCTTATTAAGTGCTCACTTCTGTTGCATGACTGGATAACATTCAACAGTCAGTAAATTAGCTCCCTTAATGTTAATGTGAGTCTCTTTAATCAAGGAACTCTTACTAAATTCATTAGAAACGTCTGCAGAAACAAATACTCCCCCGTTTCCCCTCCCATATACAAATATAACTGGTCTTTTGCTGCTCAGACAACTGGAGGGTGAACCGATCTTGAACTTTTCAACACAACTTTCATCTTTTTTTGTTTGTTTGTTTAAAAGCTTTTGGCTTCTAATGATAATTATCCCCCTGCACCACTCAGTACAGGAAAGGCCTTATATATGTAGATTGATTTTCTCAATAGCACAATATATGTCAGAAGACCTGTGAAGAGATCGAAGGGTAACTTTACACAAAACGCAACAAAAATATTGAAGCAGAGTTCATGCATACAAGTTAATGAATGAACTTAATGAGTCACACATTAGTGGTTCAACAAAAGCATACTATGGGCATTTTTGCTTTTGAAGAATCGTAATGCACACTTTTAAAATAAACTTATTGCTAACCCTTCTGAATAGCTACTGCAACTTTGAAGTCAGGTTTATGGCAGCTGAAGATCAAAAGGCTGTAAGCAATGCTTTGGTGCCATACATGGTTCATGACCTACCTCCCTCCCCCCGTAAAATATGAATAATAAAAATTGTAAAACAATGCATAATATTTATCAATTCTTTAAAATTAAGATTAAAAAATGCCTTTACTACAGAATTGAACAGAACAGAACCGAATAGAATAACAGAGTTGGAAGGGACCTTGGAGGTCTTCTAGTCCAACCCCCTGCTTAGGCAGGAAACCCTACACCACTTCAGACAAATGGTTATCCAGTATCTTCTTAAAAACTTCCAGTGTTGGAGCATTTACAGATTCTGGAGGTATGTTGTTCCACTGATTAATTGTTCTAATTGTCAGGAAATTTCTCCTTAGTTCTAAGTTGCTTCTCTCCTTGATTAGTTTCCACCCATTGCTTCTTGTCCTGTCCTCAGGTGCTTTGGAGAATAGCTTGACTCTCTCTTCTTTGTGGCAGCCCCTGAGATATTTGAACACTGCTATCATGTCACCCCTAATCCTTCTTTTCATCAGACTAGTCAAACCCAGTTCCAGCAACCGTTCTTTTATATGTTTTAGCTTCCAGTCCCCTAATCATCTTTGTTGCTCTTCTCTGCACTTTTTCTAGAATCTCAACATCTTTTTTACATCGTGGTGACCATAACTTAAGAGCTGTGCTCTTAATTCTCAGATCTTTTCTTTTTAGACAAGACAATAGATAATTCAACTTACAGCAGCCATGGAGTTAAGCTGATCAATGTAAAATTCAGGCCAACTCGTGGCACCTTTATTTTCTTCTTGGTCCTGAAATAAGCAAGTGAAAGAATAATGTTAGAATATTTGTTTGCTTGCTGCTTATGTACAATAACTATAAAATACAAAGTACCTTACTCCAAATGGCTAAATGTCACTCCATAGACTGAAGAAATTCTTTTTATAAACTAATCCTATTTTTTGGACATACTAATAAATGTTATCAACTGGAAATTGTGACATATAATAATTTTACAGTGGTGTTAAATGAAAAGAAATAAATGTTTTCGATAGGTTTCATTCATTTGTTTTCGTTTGGTTTAAAATAAGCGCCGATCCCTCAATGAAAAGACAAAAGGGGTAATATTCTGCTTCCCCTGGTAATGTCATTTTTTTAATAATGTTTTGTATTCTCTACAGCCATTCAACAAATTGCTTTTAAAAGATGCAATCAGAAAAAGATACATCCCTGGCTTTCCCCCCCCCCCCTACATTTTAGTTCAAAACTGAGAATTTTTCCCTGTCCCCATTTCTGCCTTCTCTGCAATTGCTGCTGGCTTTGTAACTGAGCCTTCTTAGGGGGCTTATCCCCCCCCCCCCCCCGCTCCACCCCAAACACTTTCTCCACCTGATGCTCTATGTCAGAACTGAAATTCCGAGTCAAAGAGCTTTAATTTAAATCCAAATGCTGATTAAATAGGCATGGGGCACATGGCTCAGGATTTGCTAAAGAATTAACTGAGTAAAATTGTCCTGGTACTGTACAATGATAAATTCACAGTGATCATTTTTGCCTCTTTGAGCTCAGAAAAGTTTGAATGACTAGGATTAGGAATCTTGTAAAATAATCTTAAATCCCTTCTAAGAACAGGGGTATTAAAAGGAGGATGAGAGCAATCTGAGGGAAGCAAATCTTAAAAATAAAAGACCTCAAGGAAGCAGAATGAGCACTGGTGTGGAGCTTAACAATGGCTGTCTATGCTCTGTTGTCAGAGAACAGTGTCTATTGGAAAAGAAAACAGAAAATGAAATCAGGTGGAGGACTGAATGGGCAGCTGAGCTCCCTCCCTCCCTCCCACAAGAAGAGCAATGGCTAGTTGGCACTCCGGCTGCTAAAGGTAGCAAGGACAGGCAGTCCTCAACTTAGTGACAGTTCAAAGTTACAACAGCACTGCAAATGACCGTTTTTCACACTTACGACCGTTGCAGCATTCCCATGGTCACATGGCCAAAATGTGGGTGCTTGGCAATAATTATGGCGGTTGCAGTGTCCTGGGGTTGTATATTCACCTTTTGCGACCTTCTGACAAACAAAAGTCATTGAGGAAGCCAGATTCACTTAACAACCATGTTACTAACTTAGCAACTGCAATGATTTGCTTAACAACTGTGGCAAGAAAGGTTGTAAAATGGGGCAAAACTCACTTAACAAATGTCTCAGTTAATGACATACATTTTGGGCCTAATTGTGGTTTGTAAGTCAAGGATTACCTATATACCCAAAACTTTTGTTGCAGTAGCACCACCTTGTCCACATAGTTTTTATTGACCATAGAAAAGAAGGCAACCTTGTGCCCTCCATGCTGTCAAAAGTCTCATAGCAAAACATCTTTAGAAAATCATAGGATGTCTAGGAACTGCCTGGTTGATCAGCTGGAACCACTGAATCCTTCCCAACTCAGGAAACTGTCACCTACTCAGTTAGATCAGCTTACTAGTATTTCATGCCAAAGAACTGAACCAGGGACTTTCTATACACCAACATATGCTCTTCTTCTTCTCTCCAGGCTGGTAACATCCTTAAGATCCAAAGCATTTCCAGACCAAACATTCAGAGCATTTACCTGCCACAGAGGGAATCATGAAGTAGATATAAAAAAATCCATCTCGATTCTAGTGCTGAGATGCATTCTCACCCTTTCCTTTGAGGCAGACTTTCTTTAGCCAATTTCCTTCAGAAGCAATACAAGTCTGGAGTTACAGTTAAGGTACCTGGGGGGGCACCGTGCTGGGGAAGCCTGCCTTAAAAAATGTGAACCTTTGATAAAGCCAAGCAGTATGTTCTTATATGTCCCTTGCCCACCCATCCAAAAATAAATCTGTCCAATAATTCATTGCGGGGAAGGAAAACAGGCTGATTTACTTGCAAACATTAGTCTCCATGCTGTAATTTTTATTTTCCAAAGCAACCACAGGGAACCTATGTGTTTATAGCTGCCAATCTCTGTTACATTTTTGGCCTCATTTACTAGCATGCGTTAACCTTGTTGCCTGCCAAATCTTGGTTTGGCTGACTGAAGAGGCCTGCCATAAGAAAGAGGCTTCCACAACTATCATGAAACTTAACGCCTACTGTTTAAGCCAAGGAATGCCATTCATTTGCCAATGAGATCCAGGGAAGACTGTTAAGAAAGCAGAATGCCCAAGGGGACATGGCATTTGGAGAGGGAAATTCCTTCTAAAAACAGAGAGAGAGGTGTCAAAGGTGCTTTCCCACTAAAACCAAAGAGGCATGTGACAGCTGTTAAGAATCCATTTGGCAAATGAATTAATTTGTCAACTTTTTTTTAAGGAAACCGTTACATTGGTTCCGAAACCAAGAAACTCTCCCAACAGAACCAAGGACTGCATAGGTCATGTTGCTAGAATTCAGGAAATTGTCATCCCAATACATCTGGAGCCCATCAAGTGATTGTGCTCCTGCAGACATTTTGTTACTAGACTAGGTACTATCATCAGTCCACGGGAGAGTGTAGTTTGCTTATTGTTTTAGTTGTATCTGTTAAATGGTGTGTAGATGGGATTTATCTGTCTGTTGATGGCTGATCTTTCAGAATGCCAAGCTTCCAGCAATTCCTTAGCATTTTTGGATTTGGCTTGAACTAAAACATTAATTCAACTGAAATTGTGGTTGAACTTGTCTTTATGTTGAGAGACTAAGGAATTTTCATTACGTCTTCTGTCAGTGTGGATGTGTTCTGTCAATCTTCTACTTGTCTATCCTACATATTGGCTGTTACAGTTCTTACACTGTATGTTGTAGATTACTCCTGTTTCTTCTTCTTTTCTGGTTACTGAACCTCTGAGTTTGCTTAAGATGCTTTGGGGGGATTTTGATGGCTTGTGTGTGTGCCATGGTGATATCAAAAGGTTATAATAAGTTTGCTTGCTGTCTGTCTGTCTAAGAGAAGGTTTTTTAAAAAAATATATGGAAATCTTTTCATTGTTGCAATATGTTGTATGGAGGAAAAGAGAAAATAGACCACCTACACAACATTTTCCAACATAATGGATATCCATACAACTTCATTAAAAAGTGCCTTGCTATACAAATATATATATCACTTAAAAGATATAACTAGAAGTCAAGGAAATAAATAAACAGCCCAAAGCATAATGCACCCTAATGAGGAAGAAACAGCACCAGATAAACAGGGAAGAAATAATACCCTAATAAAGAACCATGAAGGAGGAAGCCATATCCTCATCAAGACTAGCAGAGGAAGCTACTATAAATAACCAACTTCATTTTCCCATTTACTGATGATATAACCTAGCTTAGTAACAAAATGTCTGCAGAAAAACAACTAAACTCAGAGAATAAACATAATAGCTCTTCTCTTCTCTTCTCTTTCTCTCTCTCTCACACACACACCCCTCTCTCCAATCCAAGGTCTCTGAAAAATAGTTTATCCAAATTTTCTGGCCCTAATTGCTTTACAGGATGCCAGTTTCCTATTTGTTTTGTGCTATTTAAGAAGAATGACATCTCATTATTTCAACTGCTGTTTCACACATATTCTAGAAAAGTGTTTCTTCACCTTAGCAACTTTAAGATGTGTGGATTTCAACTCCCAAAATTCCTCAACCAGCCAGTTGGCTGGAGAATTCTGGAAATTGAAGTCCACACATCTTAATGTTGCCAAGGTTGATAAACTCTGCTCAAGAATGACCCATGATCTTTCACAATGTGCCAAGGATTATCAGTGAGGTGACTGATTCAGAACAACCCCCTTAACAAGTTGGAAAAACACAGTGCAGAAAACAATGAACAATACAGACAAATTGTATAGGTATTCACAAATATCATTAAGATAGAATACCCCAATGCTTATTACTGGATAATGTCTGCTCATCTAACCAGAGGTGGTACAAGGGAGTACCTAGTGGGCACCAAGCTACATGTGGGAACACTAATCAATACAGCAAATTTACCATAAATATCCAGACAGCCAGTCAGAATGTAACATGGTTAGAAACTCAGTCAGTTCTTTTGCTCGGTGTCTGCAAAGGATATTTGTTTTCCTATAACACGAACTATAACATAAAGCACTACTCCCAGCACTTCATAAATATTTAAAACAAATGGAAAACCAGATCAATATTAATGGCAATAAAAATATCAACAATATTAATATTATTACTATTATGAACACATCATTGATTTAAGCAATTCACCAACAAATACTAAATTTTATAAAGCCATTAAAAAAGCCCCTCCCTATCCCTGGCTGTTTCACTGTGGCAGGGAGTTATTCCTATGAAGGAAAAGTATCAAGAACATATGGCAAGAGTATATCCTTCCAGCAGGGTAGCTCATGGGATACCGGTCATCCCAAATGCCAGCTAAAGCAAGCAGGAACCTATTATGGGCAGCAGCAATACAGATATAAGCTGAAGGCTGTTAATCAATTTAATTGAAATGACAAAGGCATCATTTTATACTATGCAGAAGATGACAGTGGTAAACTTTTGCATGTTACCAGGAAAACCACATGGATAGAAAATGCAAAATGAAAGACAATGTGCCAGGTGATGGATTCTTCAGGTCAGAGGCCCTCAAAGTCTCAAAGTCTTTTGGAGTACCAATGGTGTTTCTAGCATGGATACAATTCTTACTTTTCCAAAAACTGCCAGTATTCCACCTTTTGTATTAAGGTGGACATTTAAGATTCATTTAACTAAATATATTTTTTAGTATTTAAAATTACTCCATTCTAATTCCCCAATGTTGCTTGGAATTATCTTATTAAGCAAGTTTATTTTGCATA